CTCCTCTGTTGCTTCTCTCAGCGCACTATGTATTAGTATTCGAAGAAACAGGGCTTGTAGCGCTGATGCCCGTTGCATCTCTCAGCGCACTATGTATGTATTAGTATTCGAAGAAACAGGGCCTGTAGCGCTGATGCCTGTTGGTTCTCTCTCAGCGCCTTATGTATGTATTTAGTTTTCGAACAAACAGGGCTTGTAGCGCTGATGCCCTATGAACAAAGACTGTGGCATGGTACATTTCCGTGTTCGAGTGCGAGGTTCATCTGCTTCTCGTGAGAAGTGGGAGCAGGTGCAGCGTCTGCCAAAATGAAAAAGCAAAAACAAAAACAGGTGATTCGCGTCTCATGAGCAGTGGGAGCAGGCGCAACGCCAGCCAAAGTGAGGGGAAAAAAAAAGGCAGGCCACACGAAATGAAAAGATGAAACGGACGTTACGGATCATTTGGAAAGAGAGATGCTGCAGATCCATCGAAGGGCTGTCCAACCCAAGAGAGAAGGTATGGATGGAGACGAGAACCATGCTACAAGCGGAAATCCTCTGCAGTAGATGCCTGAAGACGAGGATCTGCGAGAAAAGACTAGGAGAAAGTTTCACGAAGCTGTGGTTAGTGGATGGTAAGGTGGCTGGGCTACGGAATGACCGGATTTACTGGAAAGACTGGCACAATTCAGAGAAAGACAGGAGAACCCAGACTGGGCCTAGAACAGACAGGCAGCTGAGTTGAAGGGAGTAAGGGATACCAGGCAACAGGAACGAGAGCCAAGAGGAGAGGTAAGGAGGATTAAGATTGGTGTTGGGAGGAAGGGACCTAGGTCCGTCATGAAGAGGCACAACAGAGAAGGGTTATCACGATAAAGAATGAGGGAGGGTTCAGGGTTTAGGGTCTTAACCATCGGGTAACAGCTCAGGGCCGTTAGGGTCTAAAGGTTTCAGCCAGTGAAAACATTCTAAAACAGCGGTCTTTGGCAGAACGTAACTGCCCAAGATGGATGGAGCTAGAGCTGGACTGCACCAAAGGAAACAGGGTGGAGGGCGATTGATAGATATCAAGGGGGGTGTAGGAAAAGGGAATTGTTTTATATGCATGATCAGAAAATGTGGGGGTTTAGGGCACGATGCGGGACAGAGGGGTTGTTCAAGGGGCCAGACCCTTTCTTTAGGGTTTAGGGTTTAGGACTGAGGTTTTGGACAGAAACAAGACAAGCAGGGGATATAATGATAAGGATTTCATGACACTTGATGGCGGGACTTGGGGTTTAGACAGTATTGACAACAGTTGCAGCCTCTCAGACCTTTCTTGTTGAAGCATGGTTTATCTGACAGGATCTTATAGTAGTCCTRAGAGGAAAGGTGTAAGCAGGGCAAGCTGACAGTCAATCCTCCACGTTGTGGGAGTAATCAATGCTGATCAGGGTTCCTTCGGCCAGACGGAAGGAAGTGTGAGAGTGTTCCTCGATGTATCATTTTATTCTGACTTGCCGGTGGAATAGGAACCGGACTGATGCTCCCCAGAATGGAAACGGAGCCACGGCCGTAAGGACCTGTTTTATTTAAAAAAAAAAAAAAAAAAAGATGAAACGGGCGAGAACTGTGCAAGTCCCCACAAAACGACAGAAAAAAAAAAACCGACGAAACAGCGCCTGCACAGACTGTCAGTCTGAATGAACAGAGACCTATGCCCAACACACAAAAGCTGAGGAAAGCACACAGTATGTTTCCATGTTCTAGTGCGAGATTCATTCGCATCTCCTGAGTAGGGCAACCACGGAGGCACAGCACATGCTGAAATGGAAAAGCAAAGGCACGCCTGGAAGGAAAAGAAAGACCAAAGGAACAGGAAATGAAAAGACATGTATCTATCCACGTTCTAGTGGAATATTTGTTCCCATTTTTCACATTGGGTGAGGAGCGAGGCCGTGGATGAACGAGAGTGCACGTCCGCCAGCTGTGCAGAGGGCCCCCACAAAACGACAAAGAAAAAGAACAGCATGGCAGACATAAACTCAGCATAGAAGGTACAGAAGAGCTAGAGTTAAAGAAAACAGGGAGTCAGTCTCCAGGAAACAGGGGAGAGCAGGGCTTAGGGTTTAATGAGAGTGGTAGCTTACGTGCCTCAGGATCCGGCTGCCTTCCTTTGATGGCGAAGAGATACCTCATGTTCGACAGAATCGCAGTTGAACTGCCGGAGTTGGAATCAACGAGGGACTGGGCGGTATAGAGTGAGGATATATGTCGACTTGATGGGTGTAGAAGCTAAATTCCCTTTCTTTTGGCGATTTGTAGCAGTGTTTGTCCAGTTTCTAGTTCCCCTTCCTTTTGCAAATTGCAGCCTTGTTAGTCCAGTTCCATTATTTGGCCAGGATAAGTAGGCTGGGAGTTCGAACCATGGGACACTGGATTACTCCGGGTTGAGATGTGGAGGGATTCCCGGCCTCCTTTTGCTCTTATAATAAAAGCATTGTGATGTTGGGGAAAAAAAAAAAAAAAACAAATCCTGTCGGCGCTGTGTACTTGTATTCAAACATAAGGCTATTCGCTGCTTCCAATCACGCCCAGGACACTGCACAGCCCACCAGGTTCCGCCCCACCAGACGGTTTCTCTTGGGCCCGCGGAAAGCGTTGCGCGAGGACCGCTTTTCGGTTTAGGAGGATAGAGATGGTTATCGGATTGTATGTGACGATGATATGATGAGGAGGAGGAGGACGATGATGATGACAGTGATGGTGGTGGTGGTGGTGCTGCGAATGATGATGATGACGTGGAGGGGAATGATGGTGATAACAGCAATGAGAATTATCATAGTCATTATCATCAGATTCAATGATGATGATGATGATGATGATGATGATGATGACGACCATGATGAAGATAACAATGATGCTTCTTCTGCTGATGACGATGAAGAGGAGGAGGAGGAGGAGAGATGGCAATGGTGATGATGTTGATGACAATAATGATTATCATAATCATAATTTTAGTCTTTAATCTCATGATGACACCAATGAGGATGCTGATGATGATCAGAGCCAGGCTGTTACCTTTTGGTTCTGTGATGTGTCAAATAGATTGGTTTGCATTTTCTTTTTCCTGTTAAGTTGTACCGTTGGATTGCATCTTTGGTACAGTGATGGCGTCCAATTACCTTTCAGTTATGTGATGTGTCCGATAGATCGTGTTATGTGGGTTTGTGTTTCCTTTTCCCCTTCTGTTTTCGTTCCTTTGGAGTAGAGGTCACTTCTTTCCTTGCCACTCGTTGGTGGGTTTGCCACACTATTTATGTGTCACACTTCTCTCTGTATCTCGTCTTCTCTGTCGCACCTGCGATTCTTTGCGGAGCGAACTTCCCTTTCCTTCCGCGAAGAGTTTGTTTTGATATTAAGGGGATAGTAACGTGATTATGTCATCTGGAAATGTTCTGCAGGTGGTTGCCCTGGCGGATCACCCGGCAATTCTTCAGCATCCAGAGGCAGAAAAGCTCTTCAGGTAGAGTACTTCTAACTGTTTACTCAGTTCCCTTCTCCTGGTGCTGCATGTAGTCACTCATGCAAATTTTCTTACTATAAATTCTCTGCAGCACATGTAAACTGTTTGCTCGGCTGGCATCAGCGTTCGGGGCTGTATGTTTGCATCCTAACCCTTCAGCTTCATTGTCAGAAGCCCACAGCACAGCGATACAGAAACGCTTACTGAGCTGCAAGGAAGATGAGCAATAGCGAACTTCAGAAATCAAACAGCATCATACATATGAGACCAGATAGCCGTGACCTCGAACCAATAGCAGAATTGCATCACGAGTTTCACCGAATAAGAGCTGACCAAAAGCTCATAATTGACAATGCTGGAATAGTCTCATCATCATCAACGAAGAACCAATGTTGATATCCTATCTGCCGCTCGGTGCCCAGACTACGAATGGCAGATCCTATCTAGCCTAGACTACAAGGCCGCTGATGACGTCAACAGCTTCCCAAGTACGAGCAGATCTCGGCCAATGCCACACGCGTCAAGCACCAGGTATGTCTCTTGTATCACTCACAACCTCGTTCCCCAACTCACAGATGCCACTTGCACCCAAGGACCACGATGCGCCCCATCCAGCACACAGCAGCGCAGCTCGGCTGTGGCTGCCAGCTCCTTCCAGCTCGCCCGTGAGCGCGTGAGCGCTGGCCAGCGATAGCGCAGCAGCGCTTGTGCACAATGTAGCCAGTGCCCGAATGTCCAGTGCGTGGGCAGGCCCTTCCCTATATCGAAGTGCCCTGCTGCTCCGTGCTGTGCAGCGGTACCGGGCCCCGGCCTAGAAGCTTCCGGTAGGCCCAGGGAGGCTGAGCCTCAGTCCAAACGAATCAGGCCCAGGGCCACCGACAGTTACCCGTGCCCAACTGCCCACACTCTTGAGTTGGGTCCATGCTGCGTATCTCGCCCAGGGCCTGACTTAGATACATTTGTTAAAGGAGGCCAGGGCCTGGGCGCCTTCAACCAACTGGCGCTGCGCAACTGCCTGAATTTTTACCTCAGTTGCGAAGTAGGCCAAAATAGGCCTCTTGTCGTCTGTCGAGCCTGCCTTCACTTAGGGCGGCCGACCTGTTGCAAATAGGGGCCCGGTAGGGCTTAGTGAGGCCTTGTGCCTCGCACAGCCCTCTTCTGTGGTAAACATGGTTTATTCCTGTTCTGAAAAAAGGCCAAGTCAAAGGTGAGCTTTGACTGTATGCCAGCTGCGTCTCTTGTGGTACATCGATAGGTTTTGTTTCCTGGTACCAGCTTTTCTGCTGCGAGTAACCAGTCATTTTGTTTGTACCCCTCTCGTGTGTGTGTGTGTGTGTGTGTGTGTGTGTGTGTGTGGTTGCAGTGCTGATGCAATTGCCCGTGTGAAGAGGATCCTTCAGAAAATCCCAGCCAACACCACTGGTGCATACAGTCACAGCCAGGTATGTTGACCTAGTCTGTCGACGCTGTCGTTGTAGTGCTGGGGTTACCTTGTACAAGTCTTTGAGAAATTCTGCTTCTCCTGATTTGAATGATTAGCCTTGTCTTTTTTTTTTAATTATGTAATGACCCGCCAAAACACAGACTGAGAACACTGCTGATTTCTGGGATTTGCCTCTGGAATGAATGCCTTGCTGAGATTCCCGCATTCTGCTGTGATTTCCATGTCTGTGTATGTGTGCGTGCCTGCTGGTTTGCATGCCTGTCTGAGTGCTTGTCGGCTGAGTGTGTGTGTGACCCGCAAGGGTAATTGTTGGTTGAAAGGCCCCGCAGGGCCGGTACTTACCAGTGGCCGTGACTTTGAGGGTTGCAGCGGGGAAAACACTCGAGTAGCGGGGGTAGGCCCGTGAGACTTAGAGCAGAGGGGAAAAACACTCGAGTAGCAGGTAGGCCGGTACCACTGAAGTAGTGGTAGAAGTGTCCGGTACTGGAGGCCGAGCAGAAGAAGACAAAAAGTTGGCATTTTCAGAGCTCCAGTAGCGGTAGGCTAGAGGTAGGCCGGTACCAGTCTAAGTAGCCCGGGTCTAGGGCCTGTCCGGAGGATAGCAGAGCCTGCAATGATGTTTCCCTCCGAAAGGGAGGAGGTACCGGTTGCTGGGAGGCCGCTCGGCCTAGGAAGTCACCGCCCAAGAGGCCAGTAGGCCGCGATATCTTCCGGAGGAGCAAGTAGCTCCTCATTTGCGGTATGCAAGGATTGGCGACATGCTGCTGAGCGGAGCGCTGGGCTGATACAGCGCTACCTGGAGGTGAAGGGCAGCCTGGGCACTCAGCCTGGCTATGGCGAGCAGCCCAGCCTGAGGAGGAGGAAGAAGGGGGCGAAGGAGGAGAGTGGCGAGGCACCTGCCTGGCTATGGTGGACACCATCTTCATCACCTTGTTGGGCGCTGCATCTGGAAGGCCCCAGTTGGGGTAGTGCCGCACCAAGGAAGCTCGAGGCAGAGCTTGGCATGGCGGACTAGTCAGCAGCAGCATAGCTGCTTTGGGTTGTCCTTTGGACAGGAGGGCAGGGCCCTCAGTAGTCCGCCATAGCCTATGCATGAGAGAGGAGGCAGAAGGAGGGAAGCCATAGCTATGGTGGACTGGTTGTTGTTGTTNGAGGGCAGGGCCCTCAGTAGTCCGCCATAGCCTATGCATGAGAGAGGAGGCAGAAGGAGGGAAGCCATAGCTATGGTGGACTGGTTGTTGTTGTTGTTGCTGAGTCAGCAGTAAGAGGGAACTTCGGATATTGATTCTGGTTCATCCACTCATTGTTATTATTATTATTGGGAGAAGAATAAGATTGGCGAAGTGAAGGAGGAGGAGGAAGGTGGAGAGAGAAGAGGGGAATTGTCATTGGTCTTGCTGGTGTACATCTTCTTCTTCTTCTTCTTTCTCTCTCCTCTGGTCTCTATCTCTTTGCAAGTGCTTTCATTTCTTTCGCAATTGGGTGGCATTGTCTTTCATTGTGAATTTGCACTTTGGGAATGACCAGGATCGTAACAATTGGTATGGGAGCGGACTTACTTGCTGGCGAGAGGTGTTAGTAACCCTAAACCTAATTCGAATTAGGTTAGGGCTAACCTAATCTTGGATTAGGGTTGGGAAGTTAGGGTTAAGAGGGGCAGTGAGGTATGTGGATACTGCCCCCACCTGGTTAGGTCATGTAGGGTCGACATCGGACCTGACCAGGTTGCTTGAGTGATTGGATGGGGTGGCGAGACACAAAGGAGGGTGATTGGAGTAAGCGAGAGGGAGTAGAGAGTGAGAGGTACTCGCACCTGGAATCTGCACTTCAAGAAGACATTGAGTGACTTTTGGGCTTCCCCTCAAGAGGGAGACTTGATCGGAGGCTGCCATATCTGCATCGGAGAGCTGCAAGTTGCTACTTTGGTCTTCAGACATCGACGGGGGATCCGGCGTTGTAACAGGGGTGTAGGAAGGCCCTCTTAGTCATGCTAGGACACTTCGTGTAGTGGTAGCTAGGGGTGAGGAGGACTTACGAGAGAGGGGGGTGAGTCGTTATCCATCTTTGGAGGCCGGGCCTCCTAGGTAAGTGCCGTGTGACCTGGTTATGCCCGTGGGAGGTTGCTTGGTGCTTCATGGCCTGTTGGGGTGTGCTGGGCTCTCTTCCTCTTCTCTACGGTCTTGGTTGTGTGTGTGAGCATGTGGATTGCTTTCTCACCTGATGGATGGATGGATGGATGTATCTTGTTCTCAATGACATCTTTCTACGGTGCATTGTCTTTTCATTTATGAACGGCTGTAGGGGAAAGTTCTTGCTGAAAGTTGTCTTTTCCTTTTCAGTACGGTAGAGGCAGTTTGGGACTGACTTGGTACACCTATCTCGTTGGTCCTGGTCCACGACCTACTTGGGACCTTCGGGACTCAGTGGGACCAGGCCCAACGGGACAGGACCTTTAGGGCCCAAATTTGTTGCCGCCAATGCATCTCTTTGCTGTGCTGAACTTGGGCTGAACTTGGGGGACATACGGCTAGCAAGGGCATTCCTTTCAAGCGGATCTTGACTGGTCTTACTGCATGTTCTCACATACTGCCCCGCGTCTGGCCCGGCGACCGTTTGCACCCCTCGAAATCTCCATTGCTGCAGTTAGTTTTCTTCGGCTGATTTATTGTGGTACATGTACCTTGTCAGGTTAGACAAGAGGGGATCTCCAGCTAATCTAATTGGGCCCGTTCGATAAGTCAGTCCTCTCTTTCGTTTTATTTTTTTATTATTATTATTATTTTTTAATCTTTATTCTGCTGCATGAATGCCATTCTCAAAGTCCAAATGATTTGCCGCTCCGACTAGGAGATCTACCTTCTACTCTTTGTGATTTACTGTTTGTTTCTTTTATCTAAACTATCTATGTCCGGTATTGAGACGCGTGCGCAGAAAGCGGAAAGAGAGAGAACGGAGAGAGGTGTTCTTTTTGAGAGTGTGAGGAAGGGAAAGAGGAGTGTTCGTCCGAAAGTGAGCAAAGTGCGGACCCCTCTTGAGAGATCTACTGACACCCTATCCTCCGGCATGGCAGACATCACGTCCGAGCAATGGAAGGCCATGCTAGACGCTGCGGCCGATAACGAGAGACCTTTCTTTCAAAAACTTTATAAGGACGCAATACACGGAGAAAGGGAGGCAGAGGCATCAGCTAGAGCCACAAGTATTGCTGAGCAGGTGACCCGCCTTGCAGTTCCGGAATCAAATGATGACCGGTTCCAAGAGAAGCTGGCTGCTGCCGTAGCAGCCTTGGTTCAACTACGGACCTTGGAAGACCTTGAGTCCCGTGTGACAGCTTTGGAGCAGCGGAACCAGGAGCTGCAGGCTGAGATAGTTGGCCTCAAAACGTCCCAACTGTCTGCCACCCGTCCTCCTAACCCTTGACCTGCCGCAGTCCCAGTCTCTCACCCTAACACAGTCCTCATGACGAGAGCAAGTGGAACTGTGACGAGCGCAGGAACTGGTGCCAGCTCCTCAAGCGGCAGCGCGGGCAGTTCTGCACTGGTCCCAAATGCAGGAACATCAGCCCAAAACGCTACAGTTCTAATTGGCGTACAGTACAGCGGTCCCGTAGTGGACAAGCGGGCGGCCACTCTGCCGTCCAAATAGACGGGAAAGGGAATATCACCTCTTGGATTAGCTCCATGCGCTCATACTTCGAGGTACTGCGAACACCGCAGAAAGACCAAAACATAATCATGGGCACTAATACTGAGCCCGCCGTACGGAGATTCATAGAACTCCAAGCTGTTACAGCAGGTTATGAGAGGACTCACCTGATCGAGTGGCTGAAAGTGGCTCCTGTACGTACTTTTGAGGACCTCCTCATCGCGCAGTATGAAGATAAGCACGCTGCGCTCAAGGCAAGGTTGAAGTTGAGGCCCGCAAGGGCCAAACATGGAGGACTTCCATGCAGGCTTTGGAGCAGCACTTGGCTGGTCTGTTCACCACTCCAAACCTGCGATGGACTGACGTGTCTTGCATGGATGTAGTTATGGGAGTGGCCCCTAAAGAATATGTCTCCCGACTAGGACTCAAAGACCATACGACTCGGCGAGAGCTACTGACAGATCTAGTCAACCTAGAAGCCAAGGAACTCGCCAGGCGTGTAAAGGCACCCGCTGCAGGTAGAACCTCGCAACGCAAGCGGTACGGAAGCAGCAACCAGCTTGCCCTGCATGAACATCGGGAGGCTGAGGATCAGTCCTATGCGAATGATTTGTCTCTAGAGGAGGATCTAGAGACGAACTTCGACGTGGGCTGTTCTACATCAGCCCTTGAGTCTGACGTGAATACTGAAGAAAAATGTAATGCCTTTAGAAAGTCTGCTTCAAGCAAGGGGCCTAACCGTAGTTCGGGTAAGGGAGCACACCTCCCTAAGAATGCAAAGATCCCTCCGCCTCAGTCAAACGGAATGAGAAAGAAGATCCAAACTGCGTGTGTGCTTGCATTGTCAAAAGCCTGGGCATGCTGTGCAGGACTGTTATCGTCTGGAGGGAAACAGGCAAAGGGCGTAGAAGAGTCATCAGCACTCTCTACAGCAAGGGAAGTTGAACAGTCTGTTGCAGGCCCCTCCAAGGAGTTTGAATCTGATCAACAGTTTGCTCTTGAAGCCCGAACTGGCGCTGAATCCAAGGCTGGTGCAGTCCAAGTACTTTACACTGAGCCTTGGGAAGAGACTAAGGAAGTTGACTTCCACTCTCACCTAGAACATTGGCTGCATCTCAAGCAGCAACGCCATGTCCAAGGGAGTGTGGAACTGACGTTCTTTAAGTTACTCACTAACCGCCGATACATCCATGTGCTAATTGATAGTGGCTCAACGACTAACTTCTTTTCTCCTCTCGGGATTCGTAAGGCAGGCCTGGGAATGAAACAAGTGGAATTGCAGAACCCTTGTCAGACCCAGGTAGGCAACCAAGAGGTTGTCACCTCAACACATGCTGTCAAAGGTGTGCGCGT